GGAGGGAGGCCGTGGAGGACAACAGCGGCAGCAGCGAGCAGGCCAGGACACGTCCCCCCCCATCTCCCGTGTCCCCCCAACCCCCTCCGTTGATGAAGAGTAATGGCCCCAAACAATATTTCCCCGAGGAGCGAGTGCGACGTGAACGGCTTTATGTGCTTTCACGGCCACGCAATTCGGAGATGGCTTTTCACGCTCCGGGGCGGCGAGAAGGAAGTGCAGCATCCCATCGAAGAAAATGAATGTTACAGTCGTGACAATGTGGATTTTTTATTTTTCCCCTTCCTTTTTATGGGCCCAACCAAATACAAGCCCCATTTGCTTGATAACAACGCGACTTCAAAATGATAGCGTTCAACTTATTTTATTGCCAAGAAAAATATTTTATTGCATTTTTACTGCGTTTTTTATTTTCGCAGTTGATTGTATTTGTATTGTACTTGAATCAAAATTTACTCTCTTTTAATGCCATTTTTGGTGTTTTATTGTCATTTTATTGCATTTTATTGCATTTTTATTGCATCTCATATTCTAATTCCATATATATATATATATATATATATATTATAATAGCCTCAAACCTGGCAGAAATCGATCAAAATCTCAAGGTTCATTGGAAATGGTGAAACAGAGCCACTTTCAACCAAAATGTCAGACTTCCTTCCATGCTTCAGTTTAATTCGATTGAAGTGGCAATCGAAAAATCTCTTGGGCAATTTTGACTTCCGGTGTCTTTTTGAACAAGGCTTCTTGACACTCTTTTGTGCCCGCTCAGTGAAACTGGCTTTGAGGAAATGATTATTATTATTTTTTTATTTTATTTATTTATTTTTACTGACGACATGCTTCCAATTTGGAGCCACCGACCATAATCTCTTGGATAAGCTTGTCTTGGATGGAGCCTTGGAAATGGACTACGTAAGCCTGAAGCATCCAATTCAAAGCAAAACAGCACAATTTGTCTCGTCAGGGACGGCTTCTTGGGATGACACTGACCTGCGATTGAGCGGGGGTGTTGGCCGCCGTCTGGGGGCTGACAACAGGAGTGGGACACGGCGACGGATGCGCCACGATCACCTGGCGAGATGGATCGCCCAGCGCTGACGCAGAGGCAACCTGTGAGAAAGAGGAGGAAGACCATATTTAGGAGGGCGGCGTCCCGGATTCCTGCGCCGGTGTCCGTTCTACCTCTTTGGGCGCACGGTCCAGCTTGGGGACGGGCTCCAGCAGCAGTTCGGCTTTGACGGGGCGAGGGTTGGGCGCGGCCTGCAGCGACTGGATGGTGAACGTGGAGTAGAGGCCCGACTTCATGTAGTCGTTTCGAGAGCTCTTGTGCGAGTTGCCGGGCGACGACTTCTGACGATCAACGCGCGAATCATTCGAGCTTCTGATGCGTCCGATCGGGTCGGCCGGTCTCAACCCACCTGTGCTACGTTCTTGGACGGGCAGCTTTTTGATTGGCCGTTGGCGTCCGGGTTGTCCCGTCTTTGGCCCTCTTCGGGGTTGTGCGCCCCCTCGGTCACGGACGGGTCAGGCTGGCTCACAAAGCGATACACAAACTTCTGTCCGCTCACCTTCTTGATGATGTTCTGGAAAAGCACGCACACATATTATCCAATGGGTATTCCTTTCATTTTATTTTGTGGCCCTCATGAAGGTGATTCTACCTTACACACAAAATAGACAAGCAAACAAACAATCCACACACATGCACAATTAACTCATGAAATCCCGGCCATTTTCAATCCCAGCATTTGACTGGATTTTGACTGATCTTGCAAGGCCCACAGAATATTTGGTTCTAATGCTAGGTTTGGTTCCATAAACATGGAGCCTACCAAAATACAGTTTGGACTCTCTTCTTTCAGCGGAAAAAAAAATTTGCTTCTATATCTTTTTCCATTCTTCAGCAATCGGCATTACAAAATGGCTACGTTTCATGAAAATGGAGATTCCTGGGCAAAAAAACGGAGAAAAAGAGCTTTTTGTTTTCAAGCACGTGAGGCACCACTGCCACCTACTGGTCGCTTTTTGACATGATTTACAATGCAAACGTCTTATTCTCATTCACAGATTGCATCAGACCCCCCTCCTCTCGATGATGCAAAAAAAAAAAAAAAAGACTTAGACATACAAGTACGTCCTTGGTAGGCGGGGCCTAGTTTTAAAAAGATGTAGTACGTCTTGTGGAATGAAAGAGTTCAATATCCTCCAAAATGAACAGGGCACCTAACCTGTACCGAGTTCCAAAATCTCTGATTGTTGCTGTATGACTTCGATGAGCGCTCCACTTGCCTCGCTGATGTTATGCGGACACGCTGTTCACATCGAGGACATAACTGAGGATGGGATGCCGGCTTTAAAGGGGAAAGGCGACCGTGAAAGAGGACGCGAAAGGCACGGCCACCGGCAGGTGGATATAATGCAGGTACATGAGTTGGGCAAAACAACTTTGGACACCGGAAAATGGCACCGATAAAGAGACCAATTCGAGCAATGGACTCACGGTCAAAGAACAGCCGGGGAAAAGCGTTTCCACAGTCACCAGTTGACTTGCAGAAGAAATGAAATGCAAACATTTGCTAGGAGGTCCATCTTACCACCGGTCATACCTTGTCATAGTAGTATCTGAGCGCGCGGCTGAGTTTGTCGTAGTTCATGTTGTGTTTGTTCTTGCGCAGGCCCCACAGGCGAGCCACTTCTTCGGCGTCGAGTAGCTTGAACTCGCCGTCCTCGCCGGTCCACGAGATCAAGTGACGCTGGCGCTGGTCGTCCAGCAGGTGGAGCAAGAACTGCCAGAGTGTGATCGACGGGTCCATAGCTGACATGGCACAAATCCAACAGGGATGCTGACTGGATCGGTCGATGATTTGTCACCGTCAAACAACCACACCGCGATGACACATGCGGGCACCGCACCTCCTCACGCATGCAAATGAGCATCATCGCCTCTGGCTGGGTGGTTATGCAACATACGCGTCAATCATCTTGGAAATCGTCGCCATGGCGACCAGCCACCACTGAGCCACCGAGCCAAGATCGGGGGGGCGTCCAACCTTTTTTTGACCGAAGATCTACTTTTCAAGCAAGCGACCTGCCGCAATCGACCCGTTGCCGCACGTGCACGCACATACGAACGCGCAGGCACGCACACACCATGATGAGTAACAGCCATAACGGGCCCGAATGTAAACAAAACAGCAAAACAAAGTAGATGGATGAGTTTGTGAAAAGGAAATCGCTGCCCACCGAAGTAGAGACCGGACTCGGGATGCACGTTTGCAGCGTCGAAAACGTAGGAACTATCGTACGTAGGTGTACCGTTTGAAAATGCTTCTGGTGGCGCTCCGGATTGCCATTCTTTGCCAATGCCATTGTGGAACTATGCATGAGACGAATTTTGAATCAGAATCATAAATTTTTTTAAAATGGCCGCAGCTCTGATGGCAAGCTGCAATTGCAGACCGCTGACCGCAAATAACTTTTAGTGATGCGGATCGTATGCCACTGTCTGCTGTTTCATTTTCTTTTAAAAATACTTGTTCTGACAACGAGAATTTTCAACATATCTTGGTCAAATGATTCCTTCTGGAATGATCCAACATGCAAAAAAAAAATAAAAAAATGTCTCTAGCACAGTAAAATGATGATTGATCACTTTAAATGAACAAAACAAAAAAAAACATTGACTGATAAATATTTTTTTAAAAAGCCAAAACGTGTTGATTTCAGTAAGAATGTAAGGAATGTGTACTGGCACTTCCAGGCCAGCGTCAGTGAACTCCGGGTGGCTCAACAGTCACGGAATGGCCCTGGGCATCGGGCCACCGCTGATGTCGAACCCTGTTACTGCCTTATAATAGTGGTTGGAATGTGACAACAGCTTGTCACACTTGTGCTCTGTGGTAGTGACTTGTTTTAGTATGAAATGAAATGTCGTGAATGTGACACTTATCATCGTAGTCTTCGCAGTACTCCCTCGTGTAGTTAAGGGCCGATTAAAATAGTTTTGTTTTTTAGGCCAATGCAGCAAAAAATTCCAATGACCAATTAATTGATTAATTAAACCAGATCATTCATAAAATAAAAATTTCGGGTTCCTTAACAACAACAAAGATATAAACGACAGTCAGAACATTTGAACATTCTCCATCTCCACTTAATGCACCAGATTTTGCCGTAAATGCATTTTCATGCGCAGGAGCTAAATGTTGTAAATGTTGGCAGTGTTTGCGCACAGTCACACCAGAGTCACGTCATCTCAGAAAAGATGCGGATGAGACTGAATCGCGTCGGGAGTTCCATCTAGACTAGGATAAACGCAGCCTGAGTGACTCCAATATTTACTGTTTTAAGTGGCAAAGTGCGGATGATATCCTCCCTCGGAGTAACACCGCGCTAGTACCTTGTCGTACTATGTTATGCAGTCCTGGTGGCACAAATGGGCAGCAGCGGTCGCCACGGCAACAACCAGGAAAAGATGGAAGTTCGGAGTTTTCTTGCTTTGAAAGAATATTGACATCCCATATTGCCTTGTCAACACACACACACACACACGCACGCACGCACGCACGCACGCACGCACGCACACCCAGACACAATGACCGAGTGCACCACAGTTCGTTTCCCAAAGAAATACAAGTGGAACGTGTTGCGCTCTCGCAGTCACACGCAAAGCGCAGGCAGACGGACACACGGGCCTTACCGTTGATGAGCGGGTTTGAATCCATCTTGATCACATTGCTGTGGGTTATCGTTGTTCACGCGTGCAAGCAGCCGCCTCACAGCTCCTCCATGTTGTTAGGTGTTGCTGCCCTCCTTTCACACCGCCCCCCCACCCCCTCTCTCTACTCTCACTATTTGTTTGCTCAAGTGTGTGTGTGTCTCTGTGTGTGCGTGCGCGTGTCAGTGTTTGCGGCTGTCAGAGCAGCAACTTGTCGTCGGACTTGCGGCTGTTATGTAACCGCTCCGAGGCGCCGCTGCTGGGATCCGCAGCCCCCATGCTAACACCCAATCCCCAAAAATGTATATCTAACTTGAAAAAAAGAATAAGGAAAACAAAAGAGGCTCGACAAACGACGACTACCCCCACCCAAATAAAATAAAACGGCACGTATACACACTTATCAGTCTACCTAATTGACGTTAAAGCGTTGTGTCTATCCACTGTAGCATGTTTATGCGTGGTCGAGTTGCTTTCTTCTGCGTGTGGCGAACGAGAGGCTATGCTATGCTAAGCTAGGCTAAAGTAGCCAGACTTCCAAATCTCACCCTCCCCGGTGGATCTCGTTGTTGCTCTTTAAATATGAGCTACGCGTTTGTGAAGGCTACGGGCAAGCAAAATTTGATTTCCCTGGAATGGAGTGTATTTTGTATGTCAGCCAATCGTGCTAAAAACTAGCTCGTTAGCCTTAGCTCCGGTGACAGCTCTCCATGTCCCCCGCCTCTCGCGTGTACGTCAGCCCGCCGACGCCGATTCACTGCGGGGGCTGCGGCCGCCAAGTTCGCCGCCGAAAGCCAGCAAAACTTTCCTCCGAAGCGTCAAAAAGTCGTATGCAAACTCGGCTTGCGCTGCTCCCGACTGAAACTCAAGCCAACAAACGAAAATTTGAACGCTCATTTGTTTTTGTTTTTTCCCCTCTTCCGGTTCGGGCAAACGCCTCCTCCTAAATACTGTACTGTTTACCTGTGTCAAGTTACGTGGCTTAAGCGTTCGGTTTTCCGCCTTGTACTTTCACAGTAAAAGTTTTGGTGGCGTGACAGCGCTTTCGAGGTTTTGTTAACGTGCTGCTCTGGGCAATCTCCCTTCAGATTTTTTTACCCCGGTGTCGAATAAAGAAAAATCAAAGCGTGCAATGGCCGCTTTGACATACTACACGATGATATAAGTCGATTTTGGGTGGCCAGCCGCACTGTATCACATTAGAATATATTAGCAGGGGAATTACATCTCCATATTCAAAACCAAAACAAGAGCAACCTGCACAAAGGTGACCTTGGCACACAGCAGAAAGCATGTCTCAAAATCAAGACATGTTTTATCAAGCCACCGAAGCAAAATGGTGACTTTATGTTCCTGGTAAACAGGAACTCGTATTCTTAGCTCGTATTTTATCTTGTATTTCTTGATATCGTATGCTATAACTTGTGCAAAACAAAATAAAACACGTCCTTGACATCGCCCAGGTTCCATACAGACAAAATATATAAAGTTATTTTGGGAAAATTTGGAGTTTTTATCAATTTATTTACATTTTGAGAAATTACATGAAAATAATCCAACTTGTGAAATGCCACACAGCGTGTGACAATTGTTTCTCCAGTCCTTGACTTAATTCAGCCACATGTCGCCGTGGCAACATGGCCACGTTTGGATATGAAAACAACACCTTCCTCATCAAGTTGCACTCAACCCATCCGGGTGTGGACGTAGCGGGGCATCTCTTGCTTGCACAGGTCCATTTGACAATCCACCAAATCTGGTCACTGCAGAAGAACAACCATGAAATGTTCAGGTTGATCCTCCTCATCGTGTGCGACCGGACATTGTCTCTCCTCATGAGGGGTTCTAAGGAGGTACAAATCTAGAAGATTTCTCTCCTGCTGCGTTCTGGAAGCTCGGTCAGACCCTGAAGTTCTCGCAGACCCTGAAAGACAACAAGAGAGTCATCAAAGGGCAAAAGTGGCCAATGGACTTCAACCCTGAGAGTTCCCTCCAATTTTAATGCTGTGGACTGAGAACCACATCAACACAATACAGGGAAAATGATTGCCAGTCGGCACCCAGTGATCATCGGGTGGGAGGTGGTTTGACACTCGGTTCATGGGCGATCGTTGCCAACAACCTCTCAACACTCCACTCTCTCCTTCATTGTTTGACTTAATCTTATGAAAGCGATTGTGTTTCTGTGTGTGCCATGAGGAAAATTAAACTGACCTGAAGCACCAGGCGGATGTTTGCTTTAATTTTGGCACAGTCTTTAGTCAGCTGATCTGTGAAGCTAACACACACATACACACCCAAGCAAAATTAGAATGGGCAGTGTGGGGGGGGGGGGCAAAAATGGACAACGCTTGTAAAATGTTTAAAGTCAAACTGGATTTTTGTCAGCTAAATTATCTGTCTCTTGTTTCCCGTTAAGTCGTGTGAGTCTTCACTGACGCTGTTAGTTGACTCGTCTTTTTGTCGATGAAGTGAAGAGCTTCAGCATGGTCCATTTCCACGAAGAAGCCAAAGCCCACTAACACAAAGATCTTGGATGAGTCCTCCCTGTGGAGATGGGGACAAGCCCGCATTTATGTACACACATACACATTCATATTTATATATATATATATTGTGCTTATGTAAGGGTACAAAGATATGTCTCACTAAATTCAGCATTATTATTTAGTATGTGGGAAAAATGTATGCGCTTACACTTCAGCCTGAACGTAGAAGTTACAGCCCAGGTCAACATCGGTCTTGAGTCGATGAGAATCTGTCTCCTGCATATAAATACACATAAAAAACCACAGTGTCCTGTATCTGACCGAGAATGCTTGTGTGTGTGTGTGTGTGTATGTGTGTGTGTGTGTGTGTGTGTGTGTGTGTGTGTGTGTGTGAATGCGCATGCGTGGACCTGCAGAGCCTGCAATGTGTTCTTCAGCTGCAGGTAATGAGAGATCTGCTCATAAACAGCATCTCGTTGCTCCGTCACTCTTCTGAAAATGACACACAGTGAGTGTGGAAACATAGGGTGCGAACCATTAATCGGTCAGCCAAAAATGATCGTCAGTTATTAGCTCATGTATTCTTTTTTTCCTTTTATTAACACATTAACACAATACCTAAGACAAAGATGATGACATTTAAAGGGACGGTACACCTAATGCCACTGCGCCGACGTTTGGATACGGAAGCGAACGGTCTTCGCCAGGAACACATTATGCAGACTTTGCATCAACGTATTTATGAAGGCCCCAGGGAAACGTGTTGCTGTCAAATTCAGTTACTCTCTTGCAAAGATGCAACGTGCAGAAAATCATGCGTAGGTCGGCTTCCATCGTAAAACTACGAAAAAAAGCGCCGGTTATGAGAAGTGATCCGTCTCTTACTGTAAATCTTTCTTCAGTACTTCGTCAATAAACCTCTCATACTGCAGCACCTTCGAATCCACTGTACCATGAGAATCTGTGTTAGTTTTGTGTATAGCAGGAGGTACCATCGCCGTTTGCTTGGTTTCTCGAGCTGACATTAGGGCGCAAAAATGTGACATCACGGGGCGAGGCCGCGCTGCTCTATTGTGACGCGATCATTGTGCGTCGTTTCGTTGGCGCTCAGGGTAAAATCAAAAACGCAGTTTCCTGTAAGTACGCTCATGTTGATGTTGTTGTTGATGATGATGTTTTTCAATTAATGTGAATGCCTCTTTCCACAGTATTGCTATTACGCGCATACTTATTTGTGGCCACGAATTAGGTGTGACGTGCACATGCCATAGTAATAATATTGTCATGTCTGAAACTCTGAGGGCAGGCATGATGATTAGCGGCTTTGACATCAGCCGAGATAAAAAAAAGTCCGGGGACATTTCTGTGTGTGCAGTGCCTGAGCTTGAGGTTTAGTCCACAGCAGCTGTTGAAAGAACGCCACAATCGTTCCTGGACAGTTGGGTAAGCAAATGGAGCGCTTATTCTCCAGACATCTCCTATTGCAGTTTTTAAGAGAAGGTGCGCTCCATTTCCTTTACCAAAACGTCCGCGTTGTTATTACTTGTAATGTCAATTTGAAGACACCCACAGATTTGATGCCGTTGTTGCAGGTTCAGGGTTATGCCACCAAATAACAATTTAGAATATGTGATTCACTTGAAGTTGATTGAATCGTGTCTGCTCTGATAATTTTGCTCACTTGAAAAAGGGATACCTTCAAAAAAAAAAAGTGCTCTGTCCTGAGGTTTTTTTACGCACCTAGATATACCATGAAATAAAAGCTGGAATTCTCAAATTATGTCACATATTTTGATCTGAAAGCCAATTGTCTTCCGTATACTGTACAACAAAAACAAAGGAATTGAACTTGCCCTTCACCCACAGATTTGATGCCGTTGTTGCAGGTTCAGGGTTATGCCACCAAATAACAATTTAGAATATGTGATTCACTTGAAGTTGATTGAATCGTGTCTGCTCTGATAATTTTGCTCACTTGAAAAAGGGATACCTTCAAAAAAAAAAAAAGTGCTCTGTCCTGAGGTTTTTTTACGCACCTAGATATACCATGAAATAAAAGCTGGAATTCTCAAATTATGTCACATATTTTGATCTGAAAGCCAATTGTCTTCCGTATACTGTACAACAAAAACAAAGGAATTGAACTTGCCCTTCCATTATTTGGGTGGGGGGGGGGGGCGGGGACTGTATACAGGAGTGTGACATACAAACCCAAAACCAAACTTGTGCATGCCATTTCAGATATTTGGCAGGGAACAAAATGTCAAGTCAAGCTTTATTGTCAAATATGGTCTATGTGCAACATACAGCACGGATGAAATTACTTTCCTCTCTCAACCACAGTGCAAACATGCAGTGCATTGAAACACACACAGCTAAAATATAAGGGCAGCAAACTGAACTGCATAAAGACATGCATAAAGACATAAATATATCAATATGAACAAATAAAACAATAAATAGTGAACAACAGACTATTAAAGGCACTTGTGATTATTGCGGGTTAAAGCTTAGGTAGTGAATTGTTTAAGTGAAATAATCGGATGTCAGATGCTGAGGGAGGGTCTGTGGCAGGAGGCTGGGGTGGGGGGGGGGATGCGGGCAGAACAGGGAGGGAGTTCAGTCTCCTGACCGCCTGGTAGAATAAACTGTTCGTTTCGTTGAACCTAGTCCGAGATGTCGTCTGGAGCTGATGATTCTCCACCATTGGCATCATCATCATCATGTGGACAAAAGTCAGTTCGGAGGTCTCCTCGTCTGTCCCCTCAGGTAGCTCAAGTGAACGCTAACTCACTCAATGTTTGATGAAGGACTTAAAATGTGGGTGATATATTAACTTGCCAATCACGTGGGGCTCTGAAAAAAACTCTCGTCACATTCAAGTTCGACAAAGTTATCTTGATTGGTTACACTGTAAAAGCAGCAGCCGTGTGTGTGTGTGTGTGTGTGTGTGTGTGTGTGTGTGTGTGTGCGTGTGCACGAGTACAGGGAGGCGTAGTTCAAGGTAATCAGCGGAAGAAGAAAAGTGGCAGCTTGCAGGAGGCAAAGAAGAAAGGGAGAATGTCGAGGAACCGAGAAGACCGTGACGAGGAGCTTCAGGTGGAACTGCAGCGGCTGGTGAGCGGAACCAGTCGCATCACAGAAGAACCTTTGATACTCTGTGGATAGGAGTCGCCAATGGGCCCCACATAATGTTTAGATATGTGTGTGTGTGTGTGTGTGTGTGTGTGTGTGTGTGTGTGTGTGTGTGTGTGTGTGTGTGCGTGCGTGCGTGCGTGCGTGCGTGCGTGCGTGCGTGCGTGCGTGTGTGTGTATACAGGACCTGTCCAGCAGGTCATCCGCCAGTGGAACAGGTTTGGTTTATTCTGAGATCTTCACCCATCATCAGAACCTGTGGGACCCCAAGTAAGCTCACCGAACACGACCTTATAGTGTGTAGTCTCTCTCAGTGCAGTCCGTATAAATATGGTCCCACACTGTCCACTCATAAAAAAATGGAAAACATGCCATCTAATAAAACACAAACATTTCTAGTCACCTGACCTCTGAAACGCGTGAAGAGCCTCCTTCAAGGGGCTCGTATACGATGCCCATGTTTGGGCTTCCTGTTTGGAGCGGGTCACGTGTCGCCTGTAGCTTCTCGTCAGATTGTGTGTGTCTGTCAGTGACATTGAGAACTCCCTTATAAAGTTAGGGGCCTCCTCCACGGCCCACTATTTGAGAAGGACCGCTGTAGAATGCATGCATGTCACATGCCCCTGTTCATGACTGGCCTCGTTGTTCAGTCATGTAGAAAGTCCAGCCAGAGTGACATCCATCATGGAAGAGCTGGACAGACAAGGGCTGCTGTCACGCTGCGTTCAAGTGCAGGTGAGACATTTGACCGTCTGACTTTTTTGCTGAAGCAGGAGACTGAAGTGTGTGTGTGTGTGTGTGTGTGTGTGTGTGTGTGTGTGTGTGTGTGTGTGTGCGTGTGTTACAGCCCAGAGCAGCCACTGATGAAGACCTGTTACTCGTGCACACGTGAGTTCACCCAAACATGAAACAATCCATCTTCATGTTTGACATCTTCTCTGATCGGGTGTTTGTGATGTGTGTTGCCACATGTCCTCCCTCCAGGAAGCACTACATCGAGCTGATTAAGTCCACTCAGACGATGTCTGAAACAGAACTGCATCAGTTTTCTGACAAATATGATTCCGTTTATATCCATCCCGTAAGCACACCCACACACATACACACACACACATACATACACTCACACACGCACAAAAATATCTGTTGTATGCATTTTACAGGAGACCTTCCAGGTGTCCATCTTGGCGGTGGGTTCAGTGCTCCAGCTAGTTGAC